CATCAAGCAAAAGTTATTATAGGATAGCTTTGCTGCCAGTGTTCAAAACATTGGCAATCAACTAGTATGAGTGCACAATACTTTACTTCTTTTACAAAAAGGTGTTTTGTTAATCACTCAAAACTCCCCCCACCTTGATTTCTGTTAATAAATGGTAAGATTTTTATAGACTACAACTGCACTTAGCAGCCCCTTCATAACCCAAATCCTGATTTTATCTTTGAACAAAAAAAATTGAAACTGTTTGTAGAAAACACAACCTTCCTCCTCCAAGATTACATCAGTGTCAGCCTCTCTAGTCTTTCTCTAAGTCAGCTGCTGTTCAAGCTTCTGCCAATGTTTTGTTCTTTCTCAATTTAGAAAGATAAAATTGTTCTAGGCCTAGGAGGGAGTGCAACTCCCTTTCTACCACAAAGACCCAATCTATCAGTGCTGCATGGGGAAGCAACATGAAACGGTTTTCTTCTATTGTGAATAAAGGTACTACCAGGGAAGGTACAGGACCACTATAGATGGGCCAAGACTGACAAAGGTAACCTGTTTGGTGCAGGCATCCACCTCAGCCTGTGTTAACCCTTCCCCTTTTATGATCTTAGATGGCATCAGGACGGGAGCAGGGAAGGAATAAGGACCTCCTCATTTAAATACCTCTAAAACCACACACAAACCCATTGAGATGTCTGGCACCCAGAGCAAGAGCACTTTAGGATGAATGTGTTTTGGAGACAAAATTTTCCTCCTGTTCAATTGTTTGTCCCAAAAACACAGGGTCGTCCACAGAATGCAGAATTGGGACACAGGGGATACACAACTTCACTCAGATAAAGCCACTGGGCTTTTGTACTGCTTCTTCATACGGGCAAGAGGCCCTCAGGCACACAGCACGTGATTAAAACCATGAGGTATACAGAGTGGTCATCTCATACTTTGCATCCACAATACATTCACCCTCAAGATGCACTTTCCCATCCGTGCTGTAGTCTTTATTTGATTAGTAGTTTTAGAGATATACATTGCTGCACACATGACAACACTAGAAAGACCATAAAGAAGAAAAGGCTAAGAGAAGGAATGTGAGGTGAGAGAACAAGGTTGGAAAGATGCGATGAAAACCGGCACAAAGTGTTAGTATTAGTTGCAAACGGTAGGGGGATTTTTTTTTTTCTTCTCTTACTGTGATGTTAGAAAGTTTCTCTTTCTGGTAATACAAAGCCCCATCCAGTTTAAAAGCTGTTTTGAGGGTACGAGTTCCTACTCTATCCAATCCACTGAACACAGGTGACAGAGCCCACACCAAAGCGACCAAAGTGGGTTTTAGAACCAGTTTGGCCCATCTCTAAACACTACCCATGAAAGAAAAAAAACTACAAAGCAGGTCCAAAGCAAGCACCACGCAGCAGAGGGAACACATCTCATGCAGAGTATTAGGAAAAAGCTGAATACACTTGAAAAAAATTAAAGGAAAAGCAGTCACAGATCAACAGATCTCCATGAGGAGCCCCTGCACAGAAAACTTCCAGTTAGTGAGTATCTTGGGCTAAAGCAAACACAACTCTTTATAACCTCAGGTCAAGGCTTCTCTGCAGAAAAGAGTTAGAGCATAGTCTTCATACAGTAAAAGTTATTTACACATGTTTGCAAATACTTTCAGAAGATAAAAGCTCTCTCTCTGGTTTAGACTGAGTTCAGTTTAATCTATATTACATTACACCGTTGTGTTCTGGCACCAAAATACCTATTCTGGAAGAGCAGTTTCCAGCAGCAAGGACAGTGTGAGGTAGCCTAGCACCTGAAAACGGGCAGAACTCGATGCTCCGGGTCTATACTAGATACTTCCCCCTTGAAATCTCCACTGCCATTACTGCCCAGAAGTGTTAGAAATGGCTTGTGCTACATCAACACCAGCAAAGGAGATGATACCCCCTTGATTTATTAGCAATGGCACTGCCGATAGGCAACAGCAGGAAATTTCAGAGAAAAAAGCCTAGGAAAAAAAGAGGGAAAGGCCACTTCTTGCCACATGCACCTGCGTGCCCCAGGAACAAGCTGTACAGGCAGACTGCAATACATTTTGTCTGCAAACCACAACCCTGCTCTGAGAGGAAGTGTGATGATGGCCAGGGCACTCGTTCCGTCCTTCCTTTCCCCCTCCATCCCTATCACATGCCACAGACTAACAGGGAGGGAAAAACTTCATTTTTCCC